ATCTTTTTTTTTTCTTTTTGGAGACACGGTTTCACTAAGTAGCTTAGGGCTTTGCTAAATTGCTGAGGCTGTCCTGGAACTAGCAATCCTCCTGCCTCAGCCTCCCATGTTGCTGGTATAACAGGAATGGGCCACTGAACCTGCTGTGGATCACCACCTTTTTAGGGCAAGGCTGTCGGTGAAGCCACCTGAAGCCATTGACCATGTCCTCCTGCTGTCCACTCACCTCTGCTCCAGGTTCAGCCCTGCAAAAGAAACTGCTCCTGCCATGATCCATGCAGGTCTGCCTTCTCCATCTTGTTTTCTAATTCTATTAGGCCATGCATTACAGTTCACATGTATACATCATGTACATGTTTGTCACTAAATTGGGAATTCAGAGTTACATGATAGGTAGGATGGTGACCCCCATTTTTCTTTCTAAGGCTAGACTTAAATTGGTTGATTTAAGGGTCAAACCTAGAAACGCTTTACCTGAGCCAGATCCACAGCACTTTATATTTTTTGTTTTGAGACAGAGTCTCACTAGGCCTGATCTGGAACTTTTGATCCCCTGCTTCAGCCTCCTGTGTTGCTGGGATAACAGGAGTGGGCCCCTGCCTGTGTCACATGCCTGTACTCCCCGGGTGTTCTGAAGTTAGATGGAAGGAATCCTGGTTTCCTTTAGGCCCTGGGCCTCTGGCTGCTACCTCGCTGTGGTCTTGGTCACTGTCCAAGGTGCTGGGCGCCCCGGGCTGGGGACCCGCAGGCTTCTGGGTCCTCCCAAAGGTTCTCTTGGTCCTCTGTAGCCCCCTCCGTGACCTGTACTGGTGCACAGCGGCAGGGCAGGAGACGCTTCCAGGGAAGGAGCAGTGATCTGGAAGGGCGCCAGGTCCCCGGGGGAGCTTTGCACTAGGAAGAGGGAGGAGGGGCGGCGCCTCGGGTGGAGTGGCCAGTGGACAAAAGAGCGCGGGCGGGGCAGCCCTTCTCCCTGTGCTGCAGGTGCACCAGGTCCTGCTGGGCAGGATGCAGCCATAGCCCAGTGCGGGTTTTAAGGGCTCCAGGTGTCCCTGTGGCGAGGATTCCCCCCTGGGTACCGGCTCCCACTGGGTAGGGTTCAGGGATGGATAGGAGTTTCCTGGGCGCGAGGGATCTCCAGAGACCTCCAGGGACCCTGATGCGGGGTGCAGGTGCGGGCTCGCCAGGCATAAGTCTCCATGGTCAGGTTGGGGCGACGCCCAGCTGGCTCTTCCTGCTGGTTCCAAGTTTCGGTTTCTCCTCGGAATACGGGTCCCGCACCACACCCCCCTGGGCGGCGGGGCTGCAGGCCTTTCTTGGGTCCCGGGCGACGTCCCTGAAGGGCAGGCCCTCCACCCCGACCTGCCCCAGCCGGAAGCGTGCAGCAGCCTCTCCAGCAGTGCTGCAGGGATGAAAGGGCTTTGGAGAGAGCGCTTAGAGCGGCAGGCAGCCAGCGTCCTTCTGCTCCACCTGTAACAACTATAGTAACTTTAGGAGAAAGGCGCAGTGTCCACCCCCACACACCCCGGCCAATTTCCAGGGCAGGGTGGCGTCTTTGAGCAGTGCAGACCGGACCACAGGTCAGCCATTCCTGTCCCGCCTGCTTTCCCTGGGTGGTGGCTAGGGGCGGGCCGAGCCTTGAGTTTTGCCCCCGGCCAGTGACTGGCACAAGGACTGGTGGGAAAGACAGGAAGCTGAGCAGGGAGTGTTGAGTATCTAGGGCGCTCACTCTGCCTTTTGGCCCTTGCTGCAGACTTAACAAGAGAGTGCTTTGGAGAGGTGAAGTTCTCCTCTGTAGGCTAGTGGAGCACTCCATCAGACAACCTCAGAAGGTGACCAGCCAAAACACACCACTCCAAAATGTGACCTGACAGATAGATATGCCCCCCCATACACTTAGGCATATCTGTGACTGGTTATTCTTAGAAACCGGGATACCAGGAAGAGTTCTGACAGCTGTCTTTCTGTAAGAGAAGTTGCCCCCAGTGAAGGAAATCTGTATTAGTAAAGAGGGCTGCTCCCAGACAGCTTCAATTACCTGGGAAACTATGTAATGACACCATCTCCGTTCATCTCATGGTTCTACCCTGGCCCTCTTGTTTTTTTTTTTTTTAATTGCATATTTATAACCTTTTCTCTATTTTATTTATTTATTTATTTATTTATTTATTTATTTATTGTGGTGCTGGGGATTGAACCCAGGGCCTTGTGCATGTGAGGCAAGCACTCTACTAACGGAGCTATATCCCCAGCCATCTGGCCCTCTTTTAACCATGTCCACCCCCAGTAGTCCCCAAGCTCTGTCCTTTCCTGTAGCTCTGGTGTTGTGTGAAGGCCAACTTTAACTCATATTTTGTGTGTAGGTATGTAATCAAATGTGCATAATTATCCTCCTGTTAATCTGTCTGATGTTGATTTAATTCATAGCTCAGCTAAAGAACCTAGAAGGGTGGAGGGAAGCCGTGTTTTGCTCCTCTACAGTGGAAAGGAGCCTGGGGGAGCAGAGAGGGAATCATTGAAGGTGTTTGAGTGAGGAACTTCCTTCCAGACCTTGGTGGTATTTGATTCAAGGGACTGTATGGAGGGGAGGGGGCATGATGGGAACTGAAGCTGGGCTGTAGCAGGTGAACTTTGGGAGAGGGGCAGGGGCTGCAGCAGCAAAAGTCTGCATGCACCTGGTAGGTACCTCCAGCTGGTGAGGTGCCATAGCTGCAGCCACTGCTTCTGCAGCTTTTTAATGCAGGACCAGCAGAAGCGGGTGATGGATAGGTGGGTGTGCCTTGGGATTCACCAGTTAGGCCAGAGTTAAGGCCTGCCATCTTGACCTTGGCTTGGAGTGACCTTGACCCTTTCCCTAGTTGGATGCCACCTGGTTAAGGATAAGAGTGGGCCTCCATAGATGGTAGTGTCCCCCAGTTATTGGGAACCCTGACCCCAGCCTGTTAGCCCTGGGCCCCAGCCTGTTAGCAGGAGGCACTGCTCAGCCAGAGGTGACCATGGCCACTAGCACCTCTCTAATGCTGTAAGCTGTCCCTGTAAGACTCACCTAACTCTCACCTGTGCTTAGATGTCCCTGTAAGACTCACCTAACTCTCACCTGTGGGGCAGCTGTCTTGTCCCCTCTCTCAGGGAGCAGCTGAGATACTAAGGCCCCCGGGCAGAAAATGGCACCTGGCTCCAGGCTTGCTTTCCAAGCAGCTTTGCAGGCTGCCTGGGGGTCATCTGTGTTAGGCCAAGGTTATTCCCTGGCTGCAGGTCCACCTGAGTCTCCTGCCCACCTCCCCCAAGTTCTCAGTGGTTGTATGGGTAGCTGGCCTGGCCTGTGGTTTGAGCTGCAGTCTTAGCCTCCCTGGGAGGTTGCAGAGACAGAGGGGGGCTTCTGGATGGAGGGTGATCCAGGGTAGAGTGCAACTTGGGATGGAACAGTGGCCTTGAGCAGCCACAGGAGACACACTGCTGCTAGATTTCCATTGGCCAATGAACTTCCTGGCTACAGCAATCTCACTTTCTCAGAAAACGAAACTGAAATGGGACTGTGGTCACATGACAGGAGGCACAGTTGTAGCTGCTGCCTTGGGAACTCTTGCTTCTCCTTTCAGACCTGCAGGGGAAGGGACACTGGGCTGGAGGATCCCCCAGCCAGAGACACGTCTCCTGCAAGGCGGCACCCAAGTTCTGCAGCCAGTGTGGAAAGAGGCTGCCTCCTGCAGCCCAAGGACCAGGCAAGTCTCAAGGGGCACTGGAGTCAAGTGGGGAATGGGGGCATCTGTGCCTTCCAGGCAGATGGGAGCAGGGCCAGCTTGTAGCCTCAGGGAGGCCTGATCCTCCCCCCACAGAACTCTTCCCAGGGGACACTTTCCTCAGGCAGTTTTGTGAGGTTCTTTGCTGGAGTCACCTGTCCTACTTCAAGTTTCCAGCCTCTTTTCTTTGAGGGAACTGAGTTTAGTCCTCCTTGGGGATGAGAAGCCTCTGGCTGAGCTGAAAGGCTCTGGACACTCCAGAGGATATCTAGGGAGGTGTCTGAGGCTGCTGGAGGGGGAGGGCTCTGTAGGTTTGCAATGCCCTGGGAGGGGTCCCCGCAGCCTGCCCAGGCTGTCAGTGGAGGGACAGGAGGGGACCAGCTGTCAGATGGGCCTTCCTGCTGATGGCCGGAATAGAGCAAGTGCCTCCCCTGCCCCTGTCCTGCTGCCCTAAAGTCCATGGGGCACAGAGCTCCCAGAGGGCAGCACTGCTTTCCCTCAGCCCTAAGAATGCCCTGAGCATCTGGGACTTGTGGATCCTTGGGATGGGGCAGTGGCCACGAGCAGCCACAGGCCTGGAGATTGTTTGTGAAGATGGAGTTGTGGAATGGTGGAGCCACCTGCCAGGGCTCCCCACCCTGGGTACCAGGAAGAACATCTGCCAGCTGGCGCCTTGGGAGGGGAGGGTTTGCAGTCTCAGGGGTTTAAAAAAGCCAGACTGCTAAGCTGTGATGTGCCCAGCATTGTGCTAAACACGACATTATCATAAATCCCTGTCCTTCAGATGCTGAGAGTGAAGCACAGAGAGGTTAATTAACTTGCCCACAGCCTCACAGCTAGCAACAAGAGACAGGATTTTGAACCCTCTGGAACCCAAGTGCAGGTTGAACTGTGGTTGAGGTCTTGCTGGTCTGGTTTGAGGGGAGAAAAGGGGCACTGGTCTGAGTGATGAGCAGTGACAGACTGTTTTCACAGGCTTGCTGTGGGGCCAGCATTAAAATTAATTATGGGACAAGACAGGGTGGTCCCTGACAGAGGCCTTGAAGGGCAGGTGGGGCAAACATAGCACCCTGAGGGAAGTGGTGACCCAGGGTTCATCCTGCTGCAGGGCCTCCCTGAAAGGCCACTGCCCTCTGCCCCTCTTTTCATTTTTGGTGAGGGGCTGGGATGGGCCCAGAACCACTTGCCAGCAGAATCTGAATAAAGGGGAATCTGCCTGAGAACAAGGATATGTGGCATTTTTACCAAAAGCTGCTGATTCTTCCCATCCTGGGGGCAGGAATCAGAGGAGAAGCAGCAAAGGGCAAATCTCTAGCCTTGGCCCTGAGCCTGAACATGGGATGTTTACACTTCAAAGGGGAGTAGTTGGATTCCCAGGGGTAGTTATTTACAATCCAAAAGGCAAAAGGTAGGGGTATGTTAATCAGGTTTCTGGGCGATGGCTGACTGGAAAGGGGGAGAGCTCTCCCTTTCTAGGCACTACTTCTCATCGCAGTGTTTTATAGTTTATTTTATACCCAGGCCTGGGTTAATCATCCATTACCCTACCAGGGGCTGCCTTCCAGGGGGTGCCCATCCCTGCAGGTAGGGAGAGAGGGCAGAGTGGCAACAGGTAAACTGAGTCAGGTCAGATCTAGGAGGCTGATTTGAGTGAGTCCAGTTTTGCTCCCCTCTGCCCCCAGAGCCTGGCAGGGGTGCCAGCCCTGGCTTCCTCATGCCTGGTGCTGACTCTGTTTACTGCAATAGAAACTGAAACAGGAACTGGGGGCTTGGCTCCTCAGCAGAGGAGGCCACTCCTCTCAGCCACTCGGAGGTTCTTCAGGTGGTTCCATCTGCGCAGAACCAGGGTAGGAATCCCAGGAATTTGGGAGCCAGCGAGGCTGTGGGATGCTCTGCCAGGAACCCAGGCCTGGAGGTGCTGTCTCTGCAGAGGCAGGGGTGGGGGTGGGGGGTGGGGGATGGGCTTTGAGAGAGGTGGGCCACCCTTTCCTGCCCCAGGTCCCCAGGGATCCAGGCAGGGACTCCTGCCCAGAATGCTGGGAGCTTCCTGGAGGAGGCACCAAGGTCCATGCAGCTGTTTCTTTTTTATTCTGTGTTTTCCTGGAGGATGTGTGTTTCTACAATGGAGGAGATAAGTTCAGAGTCTCCAGAGCATCAGGGCTCCTGGGAGGCTGGGAGTGTGCAGCTGGGAGCCTGGATGATGGGTGCTCCCTGCAGGAGGAGCAGCCTTGCCTCTGGGGCCCAGGGTGGGTGGGGTTCCGCGTAGCCCCTGGCATGGGTGGGTGAGACCCCATCTAACAAGGGGTGAAGGCCAGATAATAAGGTCCCACCCCCATGAGGTCTCCCAGGGGGTTCCAGTGGAAGCCCAGCCCAGGATGTCCAGGAGGCCCAGAGCAGATGTCCACTGGGTGGGGAAGAGGCCTGGGCAGTGGCATCTGGTCCCTGAGTTTTGTTCCCCTCTGCCCCCAGTGCCTACCACACAATGGGCTGGCAAAGCCTGCTGCACTATGCTCTGGCGTGTTTCCTTTTCAACTGTAACAGAATCATTATAACATACATTTGGCATTTGATATCTCTCTCTCTCTCTCTCTCTCTCTCTCTCTCTCTTATTTATTTATTGGTATTGGGGGTTGAATTCAGGGCTACTCAAACACTGAGCCACATCCCCAGCCCTATTTTGTATTTTATTTAGAGACAGGGTCTCACTGAGTTGCTTAGTGCCTTGCCCTTGTGGAGGCTGGCTTTGAACCTGGGATCCTCCTGCTTCAGTGCCCCCCAACCCCTGCCTCTGGGATTACAGGGTGTGCCACTATGCCAGGCTGCTTTGGATCTTTTAAAGTGGAGCATTTCACGGGCTGGTGGAGCAGAGCACTTGTCTAGTGTCAGTGAGCTGGTTTGAGCTTCCACACATTTTTTTTTCTGTTTCTGGGGATTGAACCCAGGGTCCTTAACCACTGAACCACATCCCGAGCCCTTTTTATATTTTATTTTGAGACAGGACCTCACTAAGTTGCTGAGACTGGCTTTGAACCTGTGATCCTCCTGTTTCATCTCCTCTGCCACCTCTCCCTCCCCATCTTGTTCGTAGTCCAGTGGTGAAGCCAGAATTAGACAGACAGTCAGTATAGATAGGTAAATTGAGTCAGGTCAGGTCTAGGAGGCTAATTTGAGTGAGTCCAGGAAGTTGAAGACTGTCCCCTGAAGGATTGAAATGTTAATTCCTTCAGCCCTTCCTCCACCCTCATGAATAACCTTCCCCTTCTCTAATCTATTGCTAAGGTAACCTGTCCCAGGAGCTGCCCCTCTCTATAGGGAGCTGTAAGGTTGTTAATTAATGTGTCCTGGGCTGTTCCCTCCTGCCCTTCCCCCTTGTGCTGTTTCTCACCTTTTGGCCATCCCACCTAGCATTCCTGGGCCCAGTCACACACAGGGGAAGGAGAGAGATAAAAGGAAGAGAGAAGAACAAAGGAAGCCTAGGGCATATTTAAAAAAGCAGAAACCTCACTTCTTGGATACCAGGATACCAGCTATGGCCCCCTTCTTCCTCTTGGGAGAAGTCTATGTTACTCCTTTCTAAATAAACTCTGCCTTACATGCTTCTCTAATGTTCAAACTTCAACATGTAGGGGAGCAGAACTCATAACCAGCGGTACCAGTGGGGTGGTCAGAAGTGGCTCTGTGGTTCCAGTTATGATCTCCAACAGCAGGGAAGCCAGGCGTCTTTTGGAAATCAGATGGCCACTTGTATTTGTTTTTAGTGGACTGCCTGTTAAGATTTATAGTCCTTGGGGCTGTTTGTGTTGGAGAACACAGGAAGCCAGGGCTGTACAGCAAAAAAGGGCACGGGAGGCCAGGAACCATGGAACAAGAGTAAGGCACCAAAAGGAGTTTTATGGGGGTGGGGGGAGATGCTTCCAGGGGAGGTTCCCAGGTCTGTGAAAGGGTGAGGTCCAGGAAGTCACTGTGCTTGAGGCTAGAACAGTACCTATATAGGTCACTAGAGGTAGGAGGGCTTAGACCAACTAAATTGTTACTACCATTAGCTGGTTGGCCAAACAGAGTTTAGGGGCCAGGTCTCTTCAGCCAGGTGAAAAGACCCCCCCCCATGGGATGGGGAGTGGGAAGAGGAAGGGAAAGGGAAGGGAAAGCTGCTGGCCCAACAAGGGCCTGGCTTAGGGGTTTGGGTGTGCCTAGGGCTCTGGCTCCTTTCTCTGGTCCTGGCAGCCCTGCCCTTCTGTATATGGCAGCTTTGTCCTCAGGCTGGAGGCAGAACTCTAGGCCAGGGTCCAACATCCAGCCTGTCTTCATGGACCCCCCAGGAGGGAGTGTGTGTGTCCAACTCCAGTTGGAGCCCTGGAGCCCTACTTGAGTCTGTCCCTGGGGCCAGGGGTGATGTCAGGTTCTGAGTAGATTAGGTTTCCTAGGGCTGCCTGTCCAGCTGGCATAGAAGGAGGGAGGCCCATCAGAATCCTGGGTTTGTTGTTAAATTTCATCTGTGCAAAGGGAAGTGGTCTGGGAGTAGAGAGTGTGGCAGAAAGTTTTCCAACTTTTTGGCGATGTGTTGTGTGGGCAGTTAGAGGCCTTGGTATAGGGTCTGAGCTCTCCACAGGGACTTGGTATAGGGTCTAAGTCCTGCACGTGGTCTTGGTATAGGGTCTTGTTATTTGGGACCCCCAAAATACCACCAGAGACCAAGATCGACGTAAACAGCAAAGAGGTGTTTATTGAGAGCTAGCTCAGTCCTCTGCGTGCACACAGCAACTAGTGACGCTGAGAGGCCCCAAGCCCAGGGTTTGCAGCAGTTTTATACACTCTTTGGGGAAGGCAGGAACTTCACAGACATCATACCATCTCTTAGCAAATCATCCCACACCACGGGAAAATCATAAAACAACTCTAAACATGATTAGCACATTCACTGGCGGGAACAAGTTGAGTAGGGGTGATTGGTTACTACAAGAGGGGGATTCGTTTGAACTGATTGGTTTAAGCCACGAGGGGTGTTCGTGCTGAACTACATGGTTTCCCAACACGTTATGAACCACCATAAACTATTGGGAGTGTCATCTGGCATCCCAGGTATTTCCCTGTCTCATGCTGATTGGTGGCTGCTAGGGGGTTGCTATGGATCCCCACCTAGCCTGACTTGAGTCAGGGACACCTGGCGCAGCAGATCTCTCCTGCTATTTGTAGATAAACAACTTAGCAGGGTGGGAATGTACCTAGGAGTGCTCTGTGGGTCTTTCCAAAGTTCAAGCCCCTTCTTTGGACAGGCTTTGCTCTGAGGTAGAGGCTCGTTTTTCAGTCTGAGTCCTGCATGTGGTCTTGGTATAGGGTCTGAGTCCTGCACATGGGCCTCCTTCAGCTCATGGGCCCGAGGGTCTTCTTCCTCCAGCACTCTGGGCCCCAGGTCTGCAAGGAGGAGATGCAGTGGTAAAAGAGCAAGGAGAGGGAAGAGAGAAGGGGCTAGGGGAGGGAACACCTGAAGCCTGGCAGGCCTGGGCCTTGGGCAGTCAGCTCATAAAACATTCCAGGAAGAAAACCAGGCTTGAAATGGCCCAGTGTCCTCAAGACCCAGATTTGACAATAGAGATTCTTTGAAGGGTGAAGTTCAGACTCAGGTGTGCAGTCTTCAGTGGCTTTGTGCACACTGTGTAGATGACATACCTGGTGACACAAGGTTCTCGGTAGACCAGAGGGTAGATGGATGGGGCAGTGCTAGGCTAAGGGAGGCAGGCCTCCGCTGGGAGGTGCCTGGCTGGGGCTTCCTGCCCCTGAGGAAGGAGAAGGATTTTTCTGGTCTGGAAGAAAAGGGCAGATTCTGTTTTAGAGCTGCAGAGTTTGGGGTGCTGTGGACATTGCCCCTGCCGTGCCCGTTTCTTTTCTTTTTCTCTTTTCCTATACCACCCCTTTCTCTTTCTTTCTTCCTTGGTATTGGTGATTGAACTCAGAGGTGCTCTATTATTGAGCTACATCCCCATTTTGAGACAGGACCTCCCTAAGTTGCCGAGGCTGGCCTCACAGTTGGAATCCTCCTATCTCAGCCTCCCCAGTTGCTGGGATGATAGGCACATGCACCTGGCAGCCCAGCCTCTTTCTGTCTGATTCGATGTTCCTTTGCAGCTGGGGCTGAGTCCCTGGTCGCATCCTGCCTGGCTGGTAGCCGAAACCACAGCAGGGCCTTGAGGGAGGTCAGGTCTGACCTCTGCGTGCTCCCTGCTTTTCCCTGACCTGACCTGTCCTTCATCTGCCTGTATAGATTCTGAGAACAATAACTCCTAGGTGGCTCCATCCCTGGAGGAAGAGATGGAGTTGAGGGAAGCGCTGCAGGAAGACAGGGGACTGTGCTTGTCCCTTGGCTCCAGGGATCTGCAGGAAAATGCAGCTGAGCCCAGTTCTGAAGATGGGTCCTGGACCATCCAAAGAGTGAGTGAGCCGTGCTGCCTCCACCGTCCCTGCTCCTGCTCTGTGTTTCCCTGGTGGCTGAGCTGGGCTGGCTGTCACCCTCACCACCACCATGTGTCCCTCACCCCCTGACTTTCCCCTGCAACCTTACTGCACAGAGGTCCAGCTGGCCCCAGAAGTGCTACCACCTGGCTGCCCTCAGTGTCTGGTCCATCCCCAGAGGTGTCTACTGGCTCCAGGCCCTGGGTCTCCACCTTCTTTTCACAGCTCTAGACCCGATATGTGTGTGCCTCAGGAGCTGTGCTGGGCCAGCTGTGGGTCCTGCTCTCTCTGGGTCTCTGTATTGAGGTGAGGGGCTGGGTGCCCCTCTGTGGTGCCACAGGGCCCATGTGTGGGTGCTCGCTGGCTGGCAGGGGCTCTTTCCCAGAGGTGAGGCCCATTGGCCTCTGGGAGAGTTAAACACCAGGGCATTGTTGCTTGGTCAGGGACCTGGCTGGAGCCCCCGGAGGCTTCTGGGAGGGATCTCCCTGCAGGGGTTCAGGAGCACTAGGTGTGCTCCCTGGCTCAGCTCCAGCTCACAGACACCCGGAGTGTGGCACCTGCTCCCAGGCTTCCTCCTGGCTCAGAGGGGACGGTGGCTTTCTGTGCCTGGGCTGGGGCTGGCTTGTGAGGTTCCTTGCAGGGGGTGCTCTGTGGCCCAGAGTGTGGCAGTGACACGCTGGAGTCCTCTGGTCCATGCATGCATGTGGGCGGGTGCTGTGCGTGGTGCATGGGTGTGGGGTGTGTGTGTGTGTAGTGTCTGGTGTATGTGGTGTGTGTGAAGTGAGTGTTGATTTGTGTGTATGTGTCAGGGTGCAGGGCCTGTGGGGTGTGTGTTTGTGTGTGTGGTGTACGGTTGTGTCTTTCCCCTGGAGTGACCCCTTCCTCAGCAGGGAAGGCCACACAAACCTGGCCTTGGGCGATACTGAAGGCTTGGGTGAACCTTCAAGTGAGAGTCACCATGGAGACACTCAGGGGTGGTGATTAAAAATGCTGCAGTGCTCAGCAGGATGAGGGTCTCTTTAAGCCTTCACAGAGTAAGTTGAAGAATCTTTGTGTAAGAAAAAAAAAGGAGCAATAGCCAGGAAACCATAGCTGTGCACAGTGGTGCACACCTGTAATCACAGTGACCAGGAGGCCAAGGCAGGAGGATCCAAAGTTCAAGGCCAGCCTCAGCAGCTTCGTGAGACCCTGTGGCAGAGAGAGAGAGAGAGAGAGAGAGAGAGAGAGAGAGAGAGAGAGAGAATAAAGAAAGGACTGAGGACATGAGCCCTGTGTCTGATTCCAACTTCACACCGTAAGAAACTAGGAAAAGGTGAAGCAACTAAAACCAAAGGCAAAGAAGGAAGGAAATACTAAATATTAGAACAGAAATAAGCAAAGGAGATGGGGCTGGGGTTGTGGCTCAGTGGTAGACCGCTTGCTTAGCACGTGTGAGATGCAGGGTTTGATCCTTAGCACTACATAAAAAAATAAAATAAAATAAAGGTATTTTAAAAAAGAAATAAACAAAGGAGAGAATAGAAAAGCACTAGAGAAAAAAACCAGTGGTTGATTCTTTGAAAAGACCAACAAAATCCATAAACTTTTAGACTAATAAAAAAAAAGATAACATGTAAAGAACTCAAAAGGTACAGGGTCCTGTTTTCTCTCTTACGTGGAAGCTAGAGAGGAAAAAGGGAAAGTAAGGTGGGGGCAGACCTCATGGCAATTGAAGGGAAATCAGTGGAAGAAAAGGAGGTGGGGGTGGGAGGTGGGGAGAGAGGGGAACTGCTGGGGAGGAATCCTGGCTAAATGATATTGTCACATTATGGATTGCATGCACCATCATGCCGTGCAATCCTAACACACCAGTGGGAAAGGTGCCAGACTGGGGTTGTAGCTCAGTGGTAGAGCCCTTGCCTAGATATGGGTTCCATCCTCAGCACCACATGAAAATAAATAAATAGAAAGGCAAATAAATAAATAAATGTATATTTAAAAAAATAAGAAAGGATGCCAAAGAAACTAAAGTAGAAGTGGAGGTGGAGACATTACTGATGACTTTACAGAAATAAATCTCAATTAGAGGGAATATCATAGAGTTGGCATTTGGTTACCAAATGTTTAACAAAACTTGCTTAATTGTGGCACCAAGAGCACTAGAAACAAAAGGAAAAAGTAGAAAAATTGGACTTCATCAAAATGAAAACTTTTTTCATTTAGAAGAGGACAAGGTAAACTGAAAAGGCAGCCAATGGAATGGAGAGGTATTTGTAAATCATGTGTCAGATAAGGATTTAGTATCCATGATATATGAAGAACTCATGACTCAACAACAAAAAGACAGTCCGACTTAATTCTGGACAAAAGGCTTGCCTGAAACAGCCTGCCTTCCCCTTCCTTCCTTCTTCATACTGGGGAGTGGACCTAGGGCCTCCCACACAATACACCAACACGACCTCTGAGCAGCATTCCAGCCTTTCTTATTGTATTTTGAGACTGTCTCACTAAGTCACCTAGGCTGGCCTTGAACTTGTGGTCCTCTGGCTTTCAGCCTCCAGAACAGCTGCAATTACAGTTGTGCACCACCACGCCTGGGTTGCCTAAGCTTTTCTCCAAAGATGTGCCCAACAAGCCAGTGAAAGGCATCAGCACACATTGGTGGTTCAGTGTGATGCAAAACCTCTTGACACACCAGGTTAAACCTCTTAACACACACTAGGGTGGCTGTGATAAGAAGTGTCAAATCACAGGGGTCGGTGAGGAGGTGGAGAAGCTGGAACTGTGGTGTCACGCTGGAGGGAATATGAAGTCCTGCAGCCACTGTGGAAAGCAGTGTGGCGGCTTATCAGAAAGTTAAATTCAGAATGGCCATATGACCCAGCAGTTCCACTAAGTATGTATCCAAGAGAAATGAGAACGGGTGTTTGAACAAATGCCTATCTATACAGAGCAGCCGAGCCATGGCACTCCAGCGGCACAGCAACCCAGGTGTTCCTCAGTGGATGAACAATGAACTACTTAGGCTGTGTACACTCCGTGGAATATCAGTCAGCCAGTATAAAGAAGGAAGTGTACATGTCCAAACTGCAACGAGGGTGCACCTCAGACACCCAGTGCTAAGAGAAGGAACCTGAGGTACAAGGCACACACTGTGCAATGTCTGTTATAGGAAATGTTAGAACAAGCTCATCTAGAGAGAGAGAGAGAGAGAGAGAGAGAGAGAGAGAGAGAGAGAGATCAGTAGTTCAGAGTTGGTGGTGACTGTGAGGTAGAGACGGGTTGCTTTTGGGGTGACGAAGTGGGAGCCTAGTATAGGTGATGACTGATGACATTGTAAGTGGCCTAAAGACCTCTGAGTTGTTAACTTTCAAATGTTTGGTTGGGGCAGGGATGTGGCTCCGGGTGGAGCACTTTACAGTATGTGTGAGTCCCTGGGTTCCAGCCCCAATACCTCAAAACACCAGCAGAACTACCCCCAAATGCCCATTTTTATATGATTTTCACACTGTGTGTGGTATTGTCACGGGAGATTTATTTAAAACACATGCCTAAAGGTGCAGAAGCCACACTGAAAGAAACTGGGAGTCAGGTGCACAGGTGAGCACCACAAGTGTCTCTGGGCAGTGGCTTCCCAGTCCCACAGTGAGCCTGCATCATGCTTCACCTGAGCTGGTGTCACTGTTGAGAGAAGGTCTCTGAGCTCAGACCTGAAATTCCCAGAGGGTGGGCGGGGCCTGGGGGGTGGCCTGAACCTCAGAAGCCAGGATGGAGCCACCAGCCATTCATCAGCCTTCCCCAGCAGAGCTGATCCTGTCCTTCTACCTGTGGTCCACAGGGCCTTGGGGGAGGTGGCTAGCCTCCTCCTGGCCCTTTCTTCAGTGGCCACTGGATGCTGAATTGTGGGTTCCTGCTTGCTGGCTCTGTGTCCTTCCAGAGGCTCACACATTTGTGCTTCTGGCAGTGAGGGAAGAGACCAAGCAGGGGCCTGAGCTGGTGGGGTGGGAGGCTCCAAGTGGCCCTCGGCCCACAGTGGCTTTCCTTCCTCAGAGTTTGCTGGCGTGATTGACAGACGCTGCCTGAGGCTGCCTGGTGGAGGCACACCTGGCCTCTGGAGGCTCTGGAGGCTGTGCCTGGCTGAGCCTTGGTGCCTGGGCTGACCTGCTCCCTTTGGTGCCTCTGCAGCTGCATTTGTTGAAAGTACAGACCCAGGTGTTCAGGTGGAGGCCCAGGGGACCAGGACCTGATTTGCCCACCTGGGGGACACTTCTGCCCTGCCCACCAGCACCTTCCTGCCTGTTGGCCTCAGCTGCCTTGGGCTCTGGATTTCTGGTTTCCCTGCTCCATGAGGTTTCCCTGACGGGGCCTGGATGAGGCGGGGTTCCAGGGTGTGTGGGTGACCCTGTGCTGTCTGAAGGGGTCATGTCTCAACAGGGAGTGGCCTCGGGACCTTCTATAGATGCCATAGAGGACATACCTGTTGAGCAAGCAGCTTCCCAGTGCCTTCCCAGCAAGAGGAGAACGGAGGAGGCTGCTCTGTGCCAGGTCTTGGACACCTTCACGGCAGACAATGAGCAGGTAGTCTGTGTTTCTGGCTGCAGAGCCTCCTGTCAGCCCGGCCAGCCAGTCACCCTCACGCCTCCACTGAGAGGGCAGAGCTGGGAGCAAAGCCATTTGTGAGGCGTCTGCACCCACTCAGGTTTTGGTCTTTGTGGCAGGTCATTTTGGGGGTGCCATCTTTCTGTTCTGTGCTGCACATCCTGCCTGCCCACCCTGACTCCCAGCTGTTATTTCTTGTGAAAGTCCATCCCTTTACACCACACCAGGGCTCTTCTCACAAGGCAGGTGCTGTCCAAGCTGGGCCTGTGCCCATCAGCAGGCTGTGCTTGAAATACCAGTGGTGTGGCAGGAAGCTTGGTGTCTGCTCCTTGGGGTTCAGATCCTGAACATTGGTTCAGGTGTGTTCAACTCCAGAGCATTGGTTGGGTGTGTTCCAGGTTCACTATCACACGTGAAGAGAAGCTCGCTTGTGTGATGAAGGTGCTGTGCACATGAGGAAAGCAGGGCTGCTTCACCCCTGCAGGGGGATGCTGTGACTCCCAAAGAGCTGTGGCTGTTTTGAGTACCATGGTCACACACCGTTTCACATGAATTAAGTGAGCAGCTGCTGCCATGGGTTGGGCAGGGCCCTGGTGAGTTTGGAGGCCCAGTGTGGACTTTCCTTCTGAAGCACCCTTCAGAGACAGTTCCAGCCACTGCAGTTCTTTCCATTAGCGATTCAGATTATACTTGTATTGGAAATCAGCAACCTACTACTGCCCAGGTATGGCCAAAGGAGTCTGGGTCCACAGGGGTGCTGTCACTTGCCATCAGCCCTGCCCTGGCAGTTGTCTTCCAGGAACTGTTTGGGGTCCCTCCGAGGGTCTTCTGGGCCACCCCTGCAATTCCTGTGGTCTCCAAGCTGATGTGTCATGGAGGGTAGAGGCAGGCCCTCCTTGGGGCACCTGCAAGCCGCACCCCAGCATGCCTGCCCTCTTCAGGGCCTGCTGCTGAGTGCCTCCCTGTGACCACTCCCCTCCTAGAGGGCAGCTGGCAGTTATTTTATATCAAGGCAGAATGTGTGCTCTGATGGGCCTGGAGGGTCAGGACAGGCCACAGTGGGGTCCTCTGTGCCATGCAGTGACCTGCAAGTGTCCACAAGAGGCTGGCATCCATTTTATCTGGGGGACATGGGTTATCTGGACTTTGTTTTTGTTTCTATAAGGAGAAAACAACCTAATCTAAGGTTTGATTATTTGAACCATTAGAAATCTTTTGGTTGCAAATTACCAAAAATGCAACTCAAACTGGTTAACTGAAATTTATTGCTCAGATGACCAATAAGTCCTGAGGCTGTAGACGAGGCTCAATCTAGGCAACTGGATGGTAGCTGTGAAGTCCAGGTGCGGCCCTGCCTGCCTGCACTGCCTCTTTGCCTTTCTGGCCAGTGTCTCTAGTACTCCAGACCATCCTGCCCCTTGGTCACATAATGGTGTCCACAGCTCCCTGCCCCACTGCTTCATGCAGGGGACAAAGGATGCTCCTTCAGAACAGAGGGAAAGCTTCCCCTCACACCTGGGCTCTGACTGGCTCTCCAGCCTGGCCCTCAACCTGCTGTGGCCGTGAGGTGCAATCAGTGGTTGAAGGAGCCCACAGGGCTGACCCCGGGGCTGGAGCAGAGCTGACTCCACTCGCCTTGCAGGGTGCAGGGTGAGAACAGGGAGGTGTAGGGACCTTTCCCAGGGAAAGGGAGGAGGTGGGGCACTGACCACATGGGTCCCACACCCACCCTGTGCCTGGCGCTGTCAGCAGGTGGCCCTAAAGTGCCTCTGTGCATATTGACACAGCCCCAGTCCCCTGCTAAGCCAGACAGCTTTCTACGGCTCTTGAGATGCTTTGTCCCTCTGGGTCATCCTCATGGTGACCCTATGATGTAGGGACATCTGTCCCATGTAACAGATGGGGAAACTAAGGCACCTGATTTAAGCCAACAGGGTCACATGGCCAGCGTGGTGTTTGGTGAGGCTGGATATGACTGTGCTGCCGTCTGTGGGCTGGAGGCAGCTGCAGGTCTAGGGCAGTGGGATGCTCTCCAGGGCTCAGCGCAGCACAGCGGCCATGGCATCTGCAAGAAGGTTGGTGCGGCACCCTGTCCCTTGGCTCCCTGACCAACTCCCTTGCCAGCTGGCCCATCTTCACGTAGTGGCTATTTAAAAATATTTATTTATTTATTTATTTACTTACTTACTTACTTATTTACTTATAGCAGAGATTGAAGCCAGAGATGCTTTTGCCTCTAAGCCACATCCCCAGCCCTTTTTATATTTCATATATATATATATATATATGGTTGTAGATGAACACAATACCTTTATTTTATTTATATATGTGGTGCTGAGGATCGAACTCAGTGCCTCATTCATATGAGGCAAGCGTTCCACCACTGAGCTATAAACACAGCCCTGAATTTTATTTTGAGACAAGTCCTCACTAAGTTGCTGAGGGCCTCATCAAGTTGTTAAAGCTGGCCTTGAACTGGCAATCCTCCTGCCTCTGCCTCCTGTGTCACTGGGATTATTGGTGTGTGCCACCACCCCTGGCTCCCATTGCTTCTTAAAGCCATGGCTCCTGTTAGTGGAAGCCTATCCCTAAACACTACCTGTCATATTGTCTGCACAAACAAGGAAGCTGATCTGGAAAGGTGCATCAGGGGGATGTCCCTGCAAAGAAGCCCTCCCACAGCAAAGCTCTGGTAGCCATGTTGCTGGAAGGATGTGCCAAGCAGCTGCCAGGGACAAGGCCTCACTGTCCTCATTGAAGCCCACCCCTGGCTCCTTACAGCCCTTACCTGCTACAGGGATGAGCCAGCTGGTCCTGGGGGATTGGTGAACACAAAGCACCCACCCACCCACCCAGCATCAGCTTCTTTCCCTTGGGTCTCCATAGGCAGCTTCACTGCTCACCTGCCCTTGGCATTCATGTCCCACTGCCTACTTTCATGAGGACTCACCTTCGCTGTCTGTGTTGCTGCCTGTCACTATCCCAGATGCTGCACCCCCTTGTTGATGTTGAAGTCTCTCCATTCCTTGTGTGGACCACGCCCTGGGACTTGGCCTCTCTACACTTCTGTATAGGCCTTGGCCTCCTGCCCATGGCCTGCTCTGTCACCTCAGCCTTGATGTTCCACCTGTCCTAAGGCAGAGGCCTATAGCAGGTGTTTGCTGAGGAGGCAGAGTGACTTTCCCAAGCCCACCTGTCCTCACTCACCCTGGCTTCTGGCTCCCATGTGCCTCTGTCCTGCTGTGTCCCACCCAGAGGTGTCCTGGTCCAGTTGTTCTGCACTCAGTGCTGCCCCCAGGTGTTGCTGCAGTCACTGCCTGTGTCCAGGCCCTACTCACCTCCAGAGCTGCTGCTTACACTGGGTGAGGGTGGTAAGCAGGCCTGAGCTTCAGGGGGTCTTCCTGTGCTGGACATTGGCTTCTATTCTAGGTGAGCAGGAGGCCTAGGGAGGAAGGGCTGGTCTTTGTGCACAAAGACCTGTGAGTCCTGGCCACGGAGATCAGGCTGGGTTAGAGCTTCTGCATCTTCCAGACTCAGCCTGTGCTGCCACCTTCTCCAGGAAGCCTCTGAGTCAGGGTGGCCTGTGACCTCCCACCATGCCCTCCTGGCTGGATTTGTCCTTGGAATGTTGCATAATGCATCTTAACCTGCCTCCATCACGCTGCCAGCGTCATAGGACAGGACCCTGTTGTGCCCTTATGCCCTCGTGGTCCTTGTGCCTCACAGAGGCCCAGGTCACTCAGTGGCTCAGTGTGGAGGCAGCACCACTTGGGATAAGCGCTGACATTTCAGGGACTCTGGGAAGGGCTGAGGGGGTGTGTCCCTCCCCAAGCCTGTGCTGGTCAGCATCTTCTTGGAACCATCAGGATGCTGATGGAGACCATTAAGGTTAAGGGCCCCAGATCTGTCTAGTCCATCTCAGAGGCTTCCAGGGCACCCTGAGGTGTCAGAGAGGGGATCACCAGTTGCTACACTATCTCATGCTCACGACTGCGCCTGGGCTGGCAGCATGGGCCTCCAGGTAGCCTGTGAAAGTGAGGACCCTGGGGCCCATCCAGACTGCCGAGTCACTGCACATGCTAACAGCATCTTGGATGATCTGGTTGCCCTTGGGAGATGAAAAAGTTCATTAAATCTCCTTTCTCATGTGAGACCCTGGGTCTCATCCTCAGTACCATGAAGAGAAAAAATCTCTTAAGCCCTGTCTTTCTATTTCACACAGTGGACGCTGACTCCCAGTCAGGCTAGGAGCCCTCTGGGTGCCTGGGGGGCTATTGTGGGCATCTGGACAGTTCTGCAGGAAGGTCAGCTAGGATTCTTGGGGAAGCTGCAGACTGACGCAGAAGGAGGCCGCACATTCCAGACACAGACGCACTCACGTTCTTCCCTTTTCCTGATGTCTTAACCCCAGGAGCAGGGGCCCTGGGGCAAGTACAGGTCCACTCCCAGCTGTTCTGGGTGGCAGGGCCTCGCCACATACAGCCAGGGCTTGGGATTTATGAACCAGTTGCCTTCAGTGGCCCATCAGCACTTCCTCTAGAGCATCATAGCCCTTGGGGCCAGGGTCCCAGCAGCCTGCTACTCACAGGCAGTGTTCCTGGTTCCCAAGGCTAGATATCATGTGCTGGATGTCGGCTTTCATTCTGGGTGAGCAGGAGGCTCTCTGTTCCTCAGTACTCTGCAGTCTCCTCCTCTCCTTTATTCTGGTTTTCCTGCTTGTGACACATACGATGAAGTGTGTCACATGGACAGCCTGTGAATGTTGTAGTGTCCCAGAGTGATCTCGCAGTGACATCCTCAGCCACTCCTGCGAGGCTCTCTGCCTGGCCTCTTGCTCCTTGGACCTCACCCCCGACCCTGGGTTTCTTAATTAAGTTCTGTCCCTGATAAAGAAGTTGCAGGGATGATAGATGTAAGTGGTTCAGCAGAGCTAAGCTTGCTGTACTGGAGAAATTGGGGCAGGGAAATGGGAGGGAAACATGGGACAGGTTGTAGTCAACCTCAGAAGTAAGATTGGTATGTCTCTCCTGTTTAGAGCAAAAGGAAGAAAAGGAGGAAGAATCGGGACACTACTGCTTCCTCAGAACAGGGTTCCTTGGCCCCATCGCCTTCCATTCCCCAGCGTCCAAATTCACCTTCACACCCCTGGTCCCAGGACGCAGCCCTGGCCCAAAGCCAAGCCCCGCACGCTGGTCCAGCTGGCCAGTGCAGGGGTGTAGCCACAGGAGATGTGTCTCAGAGCAGGCCAGCACCCCAGGACCACACGGAAGAAATGGATCTCCACACCTCCACGCCCTCTGGGGACAGGGGCCTCTCCCAGAACGTGTCTGGGCTGCCCACCTCTACCTGCGAAGCCCACTGTAAGGCTGAAGATGCTGCCCAGGGGCTCCCACTGCCTGAGTCCAAAGGGGACTCTGAGTCTCAGAAAGAAGCACAGAGGGCCAGGCAGCACGTGGAGGTCCCAGCTTCTGGGGTAAGTATTGGGGAATGGTGGCGGGGGCACAGGACGGGCCCTAGCACCTTTGGTGTGCCATGTGGGTGAGACAATGCTTCCTGCTAGGAGGGCAGCTGGGACTTGCTCCCTGGGGGTGGGGGGCAGGAAGGGACTGTTGGCCTCACACTCAAGTTTAAGGCCAATGCTGATCTTAAGCCCTTGGGACAGAGCAGCCTTTCATTTGTCTCTGTGGCTCAGGGAGTCTGGGGTCTTTATTTCCTCCAGGGAGTTGATGCTATAGCTGAGCCAGATAATCCAGTTAACAGGGCTGGGAAAGAAATGAAAGATAAGGTTCAGTCAACAAATGAGCTGCCGGCAAGTCCCCCTTCTTCCAAGGAACACTGCCAGGTACAGGTTTCCCACCAGGGTAGGCCTGGGGGACACTGTTGGCCTTCCTGGCCATCCCTGCTGCAACCTGTCACCAGCCCATCTTCAGTCTGGTTATGTGGCACATGTTTGTGGAGAGCTAGGGACAGTGCAAAGGAGACCAAGCCTTCCTTCAGGGAGCACTTGCTGGAGGGGGGAAAACTGAGGCCAAACTAGGAACCAAGAAGTGAGCTGGGAAAAACTAGAGTGTGGGGGGTACCAGGAGGATCCCCAGGAGTATGGTGGTTGGTGCCACGGGGGAAGGTGGCTCCTCAGCCAGGGAGGCTGGGTGAGGCTTCAAGGGAGGTGCTGGGGAGTAGAGGCTAGAAGGAGTGAGGGGTGAGCTTTGGAGTCCCTGGGGACACATTCAGATGAAAGGATTGGTATGCCCAGGCCCGAGGGTGTCTTGTGCTGGCCTGCTCTCAGTGGAAGGAACTAGTGTGCTCAGGAGTGAGAGAGGGAGGAGGGCCCAGGCAAGGTTAGGGAAGGGTCCTGAGAGGCCATGGGAGTGGACTGGAAGGACTGGACAGTCCACCTGGGCTGCTGTGAGATGCATGGCTGAGGGGCAGTCTTTCAGGCTGGGGCTTGGTTGCTCGTTTCAGGAGGGTGAGACCAAGGACGGGTTGGCTGCTCCTGGAGGAAAACCAGGTGAAAACAACTCAGAGCCCAAAGACCCCAGGAAGCCAGAAGGGAGTGACAAAAATTACACAGCTGCTGTGACCAAGGAGAAGGAGCAGAAGAATCAGAAAGCCAGTGCGAAGGCCGTCCCCGTGAGGTACCAGGCCACCCCGCCCAGGGCCAGGGCACAGGGAGGCCATCCGTGCCTGTTGAGGGCCCCTGTGATGAGTTCAGTCCAGGGGTTGCAGAGGAGGCAGGCTGGCCAGGCCAGGGACTCACACCCTCCTCTCCACTTCTTGGCCGCTTGTGATGGTCAGCAGCCAGGGGTGAAAATGACCAGCAGAGAAAGAGGAGGTAGGTTGTCCAGGAGCAGTTGGTGACAGTGTTTCCTTCCCTCTTCCAGCTGGCTGAAGCCCGAGGAGGGGATCACTGTGCACTTCCACGCCATCATCCCCAAGCATGTCACCTTCGACCCCGAGCTCCACACGGTGTTCATCAGGGGAGGAGAAGAGCTCGGACAGCCCAAGTGGAGTGACGCTTGCAAGATGTACTACATTGCGTGAGTCCCGGGTCCCCCAGCACCTCCAATGTGTGTTAGAGGTGACCAGTGAGTCCCTGAGGTGGCCCTGCTTCCTGGGTGAGCGTGTGTTTGATATCCCAGCATGCATTTCTCAGTCTCGTTTTGCCATGGCTCTTTTTTCTGTCCTAACTGGAAACGAAGCCCTGCCCTGTTCTAGACATGCTGTCTTGGTCAGTGTTCGTTATAGCTTTAGGTCTGTGTTCTTGGTATTTGAGACCTAAATCTTCTGAGATAATACTTCCAGATAACTGGCCACTAGCCGGTGTACTTTGATTTGCAGGGACTTACATGAGTACGGATCCCTCATCGAGGGCAGCGTTGTCATTCCCAGGCAGAGCCTGGATAGAGCCATTCCTTACAAGTACGTCCTTCACCGTGGCCGCAGTCGCAGCTCTGTGGAGTACGAGTACATCTACAAGCAGCCGCAGAAGGCAGGCGAGCACGTGAACCGCTGCCTGTGTGTCAAGTCCTCCCTCCTGTGCTCCAGAGGTAAAGAGCCTCTCCTGTGGCACCTGTGTCCTGGCCTGGGTGCTGCTCTGCGGAGCAGACGGCCTGGTCTGCATGGGTCCTCTGCTGTGTGCTGCCCCAGCTGTGGTTATGCAAGAGAGAAAGTGGGAAGGAGAGAGGACAAAGCCAGAGGAAGGGCTGGGACTGTGAGCAGAGTGGGCCCCGGGTCCCGGGCAGATTCTGGGACAAAGCACGGAACAGGGAGTTGCTGGCTGGCCCTTGCTGGAGGCGGTCAGGTGGTGACCGGAAGCAGAACAATGTGTTGAGAGCCTTCCTGTGGGCCTCTGTTATTTGTCCTTGTCACATTTTGCTGGTGGCACTTGGGTGGCTTCCACATTCGACCTGCTGAATCTTTGGAAAGAACCCACTGCACCTCTTCAGGCCCTCTGGCAGCTCTTTGTCTGTGACCCTCTCTGCAGCTACTGGTTGTCCAGACCTGCCTGGGCACCCAGCCAGGTCCTCAGCTCCCCCCGGGGCCAAGGATTTTTTTTAAAAAATGTTTTCTGGGTTGACCTCAAGCACCTGGGCTCCAGGGGTCCCCCTGCCTCATCCTCTTGAGTGGCTACAGGTGCACCAGGACACCTGACTATGCACGTAATTTTTAATGACAATAGTGTACCCCGAGGACTTCAGCTTTTAGGCAAGACTGGACTTCATCAGATAATTCCACAAGCAAAGATGGAGTTTCTGCTCTGACAAGTCCCACAAAGTGAGGGGCTGGAGTGGGGTCAGGAGAAGCTCCAGAGGAGACCATGCCTGAATTAGCATATGAACCCTGGCCAACTGTCACCTGGCAGGGACAGGGTAGAGCTGGGGTGGCAGGGCCAACTAATGGGATAGCAGTGTGCACAGCGCCTGCTTTGGGCCTCAGGAGTCCTGCTCAGCACCTGTCTTAATATTTCACTGCTACTTGTGTGTGTCTTTCTACTCATAGGGCTTTTTTTTTGGTACCAGGGATTGAAACCCAAGGGTGCTTTACCACTGAGCCATATCCCCAGGCCTTTTTATTTTTTATTTTAAGATGGGAATCTCCCTAAGTAGCTTAGGGCCTCCTAAGTTGCTAAGACTGACCTCGAACTTGCAGTCTTCCTGCTTCTGCCTCTGGAGTCGATAGGATTACAGGCAGACATCATTGTGCCCATCATTGTGTCTCTGTCCATCTTATAAGTTTTCAGTCTTTTTTTTTTCTTTTCTTTCTTTCTTTCTTTTTTCTTTTTATTTTTTCTGACATTGCTGGGGATGGAACCAGGGCCTGTGCATGCTAGGCTCTACCCCTGAGCTAGATCCCCAGCTCTTTTATTCATTTTTAAATTTTGAATCAGGTTTTGCTAAGTTGCCCAAATTTTGATCCTCCTGCTTCAGCCACCTAAATTGCCTGGAGTACAGCCATGCACCATGGTGTTGGCTAACCACTTTTGTTTTCTAATTATTTTACAGTTAACATCACTGGGTTTTCTAGGTCTATAATTGTGTCTCTTGCAGGTGGATCTCAGAGCAGACTTGAATTCAGCCCTTTGCCTGTAGTGGGCACCTGCTGGTGGCTCTGTGTCTGCTGGGTAATCTGCACCACCCTCTTTGGGGTGGGGGTTGCTGTTCCCAGTATGTACCCTGAAGTCATTTACCAGAACAGGAAACTCAGTTGCTAGTGAGAGATGTAGTTTTAATATAAATGTTTTTTATGTAATTTTTAAAATTTATCTATGACAGAAGAATGCATTACAATTCTTATTACATATATAGAGAGCACAGTTTTTCATAACTCTGGCTATATACATAGTATATTCACACTAATTCGTGTCTTCATACATGTACTTTGGATAGTAACGATCACCACATTCCACCATCATTGATTACCCCATGCCCCCTTCTTTTGTTATAAATGTTTATCCTGCATATGGTCATGTTTAAAGCTTTTACCAGGCTTGCTGAACTGCTTTGCTAAGCAGAGACTTGGTTTTAAGCTCATCACTGTGGGTTTTCTAGGATTTCTGTCTCTAGAGCTAGGGCCATGGTAGCTGATGGAGTGAGCTCTGATCACCTCAGTTTTCCAGAGTCCTCTTGTTTTCCTTCCTTCCTTTTATCCTCTGACTGTGCTCCCCTATTTACGTTTATTTTTTAGATAGAGCCTCCCTAAGTTGCTGAAACTGACCTCTAACTTGTGATTCTGCTTGAGACTCCTAAGGCACTGGCATTACAGACATGTGCCACTGTGCCTGCTCCTCCCCTGTGTTTCTGTCTTCCTAGGTGGTACCTTGGATTGGTGGGTTTTGAGATCTTAAATGTGACTTTTTTCTTGCTATCACCCACAGACTGGCATCAATATGATGACATAATTTGCATGAAGCCTCCTGGGACCTTCCAGAAATTTCAGAACCTCTTCACTAATAAGATGAAGAAGGAGCTGGTGAAGGGGAAGATGATAGCAGCCGAGATCATGCTGGGCCGCATCTTCAGCAACCTCCAGACCTGGAACCTCGTCAACCTGCAGAACTTCTTCACCCAGTTCCGGCAGTTTTACTCTGTTGTCCGAATGCCTATGATTTATGAAGGGAAAGCACAGCCCTGGCACAGCCTGGGCCTCGAAGAGGAGGAGGTATCAGGCTTCCCCCGGTCACCAGCAGCTCTGGTGTGGGTGACCTACTACTGGTAATGAGACCCTGTGACTGACTGGGGCAGCTGCAGAGGGGCAGTAGGATCTTTCCATCCCTTCTTTTCCTGCTCCACCTCTTGGGAATCCCTCGCCCCCATGTCCCTCCTCCTGATTGCACCTCTGAGCCTCACTCCCAGCACTGATCTTGAGTTTTTCCAGGACTAGGCAGAGTTGAAAGAAAGGGTGGAGCCCATCATTGCCCCTTCAGCCACACTGTGGCTTGGAGACAGAGATGGCGCTCTCTCCGAGTTCGACATTGAGCTCTCAAGAGCGTCCAGGGGTCTCCTAGACCCACCTCACTGCAGGGTTTGGGACTGATCATGTGCTTCTGCTGTCCCAGAACCTCAGAGTACCTGGGAGTTGGGGAGGCGAGGGAGATGGGGCCCTCCCCAGAACTCCCCTGTCTCAGGGCCTTGATCCCCTGCCCGAGGGTTCTCCAGCCTCCAGGGCATGCACTCCATGGCTGTGCCTCTTCTTTCCCCTGCACCAGGTGAAGGAACATCTGTGGGAGTGTTTGAAAAAGCAGATTGAACTGTTTCTGGAAGGAAAGAGTGGGGACACCCTGCCTGAAGGCTGGCCTGTGAGGAGCAGACTGAGGATGGGCCTGGTCCTCCTTTTCCTGGTGGAAAATGCCAGACTCTGCTTGTCCGAAGGTGACTTGACCTCACTGTGCTCCATCCTCTGCCCCAGCACCTGCTCTCCAGATGTCCTACACCGTGAACTCCACCACATCCTGGGCACATCTGAGAGGTATCCTAGTGGTTCCTTTTGTTTCTTGGTTAGAAGTTTCGTAGCCATTTATCATGATTTTTATCTGGGTATAGAGATAAGTGCTTGTTAGAGAAAGTCTGAGCACACAGTCCTGTCACCACCTGCTCCTGTCACTTTCGTGGCATGTGTGTCATTGCTAGTTTTGTTAAATTCTGTGTTCTCCTGAATACCCTGGCTTCAAAAAGCTCCAAAGGGCCAGGAACCATGGCGGCACTGTCATCCCAGCTACTTGGGAGGCTGAGGCAGGAGGGTTGCTTGAGCCCAAGAGCTTACGGCCAGCCTGGGCAACTTAGTGGAACCCCATCTGGAAAAATAAATGAGTGACATAAAGTGCATGACAGAGTGCTCCTGGGGGCCCCTCCTCTGCCCACTCAGCACGCCTTAGCACTGGGGCCCAGGCCTGCCTGCAGGTGTCACCAGGACAGCTGCAGGACCCACAGGGATGCTGTCCCTGCTGCTCCACCTGTGCTGGTAGCTCTGGAAGCACACTGCCCCTGCTGTCAGCCATGGCCTTTCATGTGGTTGCGAAGACCTCTTCTGAGCTGCTGTGCTCAGAGGATCAGGGTCTCTTCCGCTTCTGTTTGGATTGAGCTTGGGTAACATCCGGTGGCCTTTTCTGAGCTCTTAGCACCTGTGGGTTTCCTAAGTTTTAAAGACCCAGGTAGTTGCTGTGCCCTCTGTGAAAGGGTGACAGTGGTTAGGAAATCTCCAAACAGCTGTGCGGGGGTGTGAGAGAAGGAAGAAGCATCTATTTCTGTACCTGTGGGACACACACCATGTGTTGTTCCTTTTAAAAAGTGGCTTTGTAGCTGGGCACAGTGGCACATGCCTGTAATCCCACAGACTCAGGAGGTTGAGACAGGAGGATCACAAGTTCAAGGATAGTCTCAGCAACTTAGGGAAGCCATGTCTCAAAATAAAAAAGGTTGGGGATGTAGCTTAGTGGTAGAGTATCCCTGGATTCAAATTTTTTTTTAAAGTTTGCTTTGTGTTTAGGTCTATCATCGTCAGACTACCTGGTTCAAATCCTAGGCCCTGTGTGAATTTCTTAGCTGGAAACCGAGGGCCCCAATTCCTCAGCTGTGTAGTGTGGGTGGATATGACCCCAGTGGGAGTCTGTTGGGATTCGTGATGTCTTGGTGCACTGGGATCAATCCCAGTGCAGTGCCAGGTCTCTCTTCCCTCTTGTCTCCCTGTGTTTCCTGGTCTGGGACTTGGTCTAGGTGTGCCACACCTTGGAATAATGATTCTGCTGGATGCAAGTAGCTTTCCTTTCCCTCCTGGGACATCAGACCACAGGGCAGGTCGGACACTGCCAACCACAGCTCACATTAGGTCTTGGTTCCCTTCCAGATGGCAAGAGTACTTGGTCAACCTGTGCCAAACATGCATAGATGCAAGAGTCGTCGACTGGCTGGGCATCCTCCCTGTCCTGCACTACTGTATGCAGCTGGCCCCTCCAAGAAAGGACTTTGTGAGCCAGCCTGAGGACATCTGGGCTGGCCTCAACGGAATCTCCTTGTTTCAGTTTGAGGAAAATTGGCTAAATGAGTAAGTTGTAAAGCTGCATTTATATAAGCACATCTTGGAATAATGATTCTTTAACACTTTGCCGCTTTGAGCTACATCCCTAGTCCTTTCTTAAATTTTCAATCTTTGAGACAGGTCTTGCTAAATTGCCTGGCCTGGCCTGAACTTGTGATCCTCCTGTCTCTGTATCAACTGGGATCACAGGCATGGCCACTGCCCTGGGCGGTCTTTTCTCGTATAACTGAATTAATGTAGGTTTACTCACCTCTGTGTGTCCCAGGACACAACCCTCAGTACTGCAAACCTTAGTTCATGGCCTCTGACCTTGGCCTTTTGGCTGGCGTTGGGGGTGGTGAGTGCATTTTTGGTAGAGCTTTGAGCAAGATCCTCCTTTTGCTGGCCATAAGGCTCAGGCCAGAGAACTGCCTGGGAGAAGCAGAGGACTTACACAGTCTGCTCTCTGATTGTGAGAGTGGTGCGCTGCCCCGTGGGTGGGAGGCTCAGGCCTCATAGAGTGTGGAAGTCTTGGTGGGCAAGAGTACAGAGACAATGACCATGGGATCACTGGGCCTTGCACTGTGTAAAAGACAGTGGCCATCCAGTGGGGAGAGGGACTGAAAATTGGAAAAGTCACTGTTCCCAAGATGTGGATGCATAGAGCTTGCTGAAGTCTGAAGAGGGAGATAGGAACCAGTTGCTATGGATGCTCAGATTCTGGCTTCTGCCAGGGGTACTGTGGCTCTGTTGTCAAAGGATGGGAAGTTTCCATGAACTGAGTTTCACTAAAGCTACAGCAAAGCCCTGGCTCCTCTCCCTCATAACTCCTGACCTGAGAAGAAGCTGCTGCACAGGGAGGAATTAGGGTGTGAAACACATAGACGGCCCAGGTGGGGGGATTCAGGGAGGGTGTTTGGAACAACCACCAGGGGTCTGGGATTACGGCTCAGCTGTAGAGCACTCGCCTAGCACATGTGAGGCCCTGGGTTTGATCCTCAGCACCACATAAAAATAAATAAATAAAATAAAGGTATTGGGTCTAACTACAACTAAAAAATAAATATATAAATATTTTTAAAAAGAACAACTGGGAGGAGTATTGAAGAGGACCTTCAGAAAAAGTGGACACAAAAACAGATGGGGAATTTCAGAAGATTAGTGGAAACCATAGGTACTAAGAAAATAGCTGAGTGGGAAGGCCACAGACAACACCTGGAGTGGGGATGGAGACTCTTCTTGATGGCTCAGCAGCAGCCTGGAAACAGCAGGGGGAAGGGGCCGCGAACTGGCGGACTGGGCAATAGAAATGTCATGCTCTTAAAAAAAAAAAAAAAGAAAGAAAGAAAGAAATGTCATGCTCACACAGAGAAGTTGCAGATGGGAAAAGAAAAGAACAGAGCTTCTGAGGTCTGTGGGTGAAAATCAGGTGAGAAAAGAGGAGAAAGAGGCCAGAGGAAAGAGGGAGGATGGTTCTTGATTTTCCCAGGACAGAGAGCACCGTCTCACAGAGCCTGCAGTCTCCAGGCAGAACAGGGGCAGGCCATTTACATCTGGCACAGTCAAGGCTACAGGGCACCAAAGAAAGACTTTCTCCAAGGCAGCTGGGGAAAAGACTCACTGAATCCAGGGGACTGTGGAAGGGTGCCTGGAGGAGGGAGAGGTGGCATTGGTACAGGGTGCTCAGCCTTGGCATGGAGGCAGGCTCAGTCACATGCTGCAGTGCAGACCTGTGCTGAGGACATTGAGCTAAAACACCAAAGCAGACCTCAGAAGGACAATTACCATGTGATTCCACCCCTGAGGTCCCTAGCATCTTCATACTCAGAGAAAGAGTAGTGTGGCTTGCCAGGGGCTGGGGGAGGGGAGTTAGTCTCTAATGAGGATAGAGTTTCAGTTTTGCAAGATGAAAAGGGTCCTAAGTTTGGTTGTGTGCCAATGTGATGTCATTGACACATTGTATATTCTGGAGAATGGCTGAAATGGTAAAATTCAGGTTGAGCGTACTATCATTAAAAAAAAATAACTTTTAAGCCAGGTGTGGTGGCACAGTCCTGAAGTTCCAGAGACTCAGGAAACCAAGTCAAGTGGATCACAAGTTCAAGGCCAGCCTGAGCAACTTGAAATCTCAAAATAAGATGTGGCTCAGTTGTTCAGTGCACCTAGGTTCACTCCCCATTACAAAAAAAAATTATAATAGCAATAATTAATTTTTAAAAACCCTATCAAAGTAATTCTAGGCATGATTTCCTGAAGTTAGCACTGTTGTATTTTGGGGACCAGGCCATTCTGTGTGGTGGAGGCCATCCTGTGCACTGTAGGATGTCCAGCAGTGTGCCTGGCCCCCACCTGGAAGGTGCTGCTGGTCTTGCCCCCTCCCCAGTTCTGAGAGGCATTTGTGTTTCCTGGTATTGCCAGGGCCCCCCGGTTGGTAGTGGGAGCTTGAACACCCCTGCCCCCACTGAGAACTGTGCTTGAGCAGGAGAAAGTGGACTCAGAGATGCAAAACTCCAAGCTAAATGATGATAAATTGGAATACTGAGCAATATGTAATGGCCAGAACAGGGCTGGGGCAGGGGCTGGGGCTGGGGATTAGTGACAGAGCACTTATCTAGCTTGGCTGGGGTCGTGGGTCCCATCTTCTGCACCATAAAAAATAAAAGAGTCAGAGCAGGATCCACAGAGGAATGGAGAACAAAGGTTTAAAGTGTGGAGAATCAAATCCAATTCCACACCAAGAGCCCAAGAGGAGGAGCAGGCAGATCCATATCTCTGTGGAGCAAATGGCAGGAGAATCAATATGGTATGGACATTGGGGAGAAAGCTGTAGACCAGCCAAACCCAGGTGGCCCCCAGGGGCTTCAGTGCCCTGCACGGCAGGCCACAGGCCTTTTTCAGGTGTGCCTGTGGGTACATGCAGCAAGACAGGCTGCATTCTGAGCTGGACCACTCTCAGTACTTGAAGGTGCTGCAGTCCAGGGTTCCTAACCACATCTGGACAGGTGGAAAATCCTTACACGCCTGGATGTGTTAACAGCATGCTGCTTCTAAATCACCTCACCTTGGAATGAGGTGACATGGAAAGCACAACCTACACAAGGAAAATTGTAGGGGGCTGGCGGCACTTGGGGGCAGAGATCTGCCAGCTGGGCAAGGCCCTGGGTTGCCTCCTCAACACCACACAAAAAAATTTTTAAGTCCAATTTAAGAGAAGAGTATAAAACTTAAAAATTAAAATAAATCTGAATTAAACATGAAAGCAGCTTTGTACTCATTTCCACACACAGATAACTGCCATGTGTGAAGTGCCCTGTCCCCTTGCCCTCCCTGTCCACCTGGAGCCAGGTGCCATCTTTAGGGATGAAGGCAGTGAGCTCAATTGTTCTCATCTCTTCTCTATTTTTGGAACCTTTTGAAATGAAAGCTAAATGGAAATTATTTTTATTTATTTATTTGTTTGTTTGTTTATTTATTTATTGGTGTCAAGGATTGAAAATCAAGGGTGCTCAACCACTAAGCCACATCCCTAACTCCTTTTTAATTATTTTTTGAGACAAGCCTCACTAAGTTGCTGAGGGTAGCCTTGAACTTATGATCCTCCTGCCTCAGCCTCCTGAGTTGCTGGGATCACAGGTGTGCCACACACTTGGCTATTTTGTTCAGTTTTCATTTGATTCGCTCTGTATGTCTGTTTCCATAATACATTGATACCATCTTTAAAATCTGAGCATTCTGGACCTTCCCAGCCTTGCATTTCCTTGTCTTGAGTCTGTTCAGCGCTCTCACTGTTGCCCTGGTCTCTGTCCCGGTTTCTTCATTCAGGAACCAGTTTCTTGACTTCATGGAGAGCAGGAAGCAGTTGCTGTGTGTGGATGAGTATCTCTTTCCATCCTGGTTCAGTTTGCTGCCTCTGGGAAGCCTGGTTCCCTATATGGAAATCTCCAATGAATACTTGAGTCTCATGCCCGCTCGGGTCCTGGACTGTTTCCTAGGGACTTACTACAGGCTGCAGTGGCTTCAGGAGATCTCAGAGATCTCAGAAGATCTCTTGGAGGTTTGTGGTTGGGAGTTGGGTGTCAGGTCCTTGCTTAGTAAAAGCAGGTGACAAACTGAACATTGAATGTTTGTGGGTCTTCTGTCCTGAAGGGAAGTTGGGGGAAGTGCTGAGAAATAATCAGAGAATTGCTGAAATAAGAAGTCATTATTTCTTAGGGTTAAAGTTTGAATTCCCAGAGTAGGTTCTGGTTGAGTAAATAGAGCACAAGACAACCGTAGCCATTTGTTATTTATGACTGTTAGAAGGTGCTGTTAACGTCACATGTTTCATAGTTGCTGTCTTTCCTTTTATGCTTTTTGAGGTAAAGAAAATAGTATAAGGACTTGGGAATCAGTTTAACAAAAGAGGTGAAAGACCTCAACAATGAAAACTACAAAACACTATAAAAAGAAATTGAAGAAAACCTTAGAAGATGGAAAGATCTCCTATGCTCCTGGATAGGCAGAATTAATATTGTCAAAATGGCCATATTACCCAAAGCAGTATACAGATTGAATGCAATTCCAATTAAAATTCCTATGTCTCTCCTAATAGAAATAGGAAAAGCAATAATGAAATTTATTTGGAAAAATAAGCGACTCAGAATAGCCAAATCAATCCTTAGTAAGAAAAGTGAAGCAGGATGCATCACAATACCAGACCTTAAACTATACTACAAAGCCATAGTAACAAAAACAGCATGATATTGACACCAAAATAGGCATGTAGACCAATGGTACAGAATACAAGACATAGAGACAAACCCACATAAATATAGCTATCTCACACTAGACAAGGCGCCAAAAACATACATTGGAGAAGAGATAGCCTCTTCAACAAATGGTCTGGGAAAACTGGAAATCCATATGCAATAAAATGAAATTAAATTCCTATCTCTCACCATGCACAAAACTCAACTCAAAGTGGATCAAGAACCTAGGAATTAGACCAGAGACCCTGCACCTAATAGAGGAAGGAGTAGGCCCAAATCTTCATCACGTCAGATTAGGCCCTGATTTCCTTAACAAGACCTCTAAAGCATAAATCATAAAATCAAGAATCAATAAATGGGATGGATTCAAATTAAAAGGTTCTTCTCAGCAAAAGAAACAATTAGTGAGGTGAACAGAGCCCTATGTTTGGGGAGCAAATTTTTGTCACATGCATGTCAGATAGAGCATGAATCTCCAGGATATGTAAAGAACTCAAAAAACTTAACACCAAAAATACAAAAACCTAATCAGTAAATGAGCTGAACAGACACTTCTTAGAAGAAGATGTACAGTCGGTAATAAACAAATATATGAAAAATGCTCAACATTTCTAGTAATTAGAGAAGTGCAAATCAAAACTAAGATTTCATCTCACTCCAGTCAGAATGGCAGTTATCAAGAATACAGACAACAATAAGTATTGACGACCATATGGGGGAAAATGTACACTCATACATTGGTGGTAGGACTGAAAATTGGTGCAACCAGTCTGGAAAGCAATATGGAGATTCCTTAGAAAACTTGGAATGAAATTGACCCAGCTATCCACCTCCTCGGTCTATACCCAAAGGATTTAAAATCAGCATACTATAGTGATGCAGCCACATAAATGTTTATAGCAGCACAGTTCACAATAGCTAAATTGTGTAATCAACCTAAATGCCTTTCAATAGATGAATGGATAAAGAAACTATGGTATATATACACAATGGAATATTATTCAGCATTAAAAATAATAAAATTATAGCATTTGAAGGTAAATGAATGGAGTTGGAGGATATCATGCTAAGCAAAATAAGCCAATCCCCAAAAAACAAAGGCTGAATGTTCTCTCTGAATAGTGGATGCTGATCCATAATGCTGGGGGTGGAGGAGTCACATGGGAAAAATGGAAGAACTTTGGGCAAAGGGGAGAGAGGGAAGGGGAGGAGGCATGGGGGCAGGAAAGATGGTGGAATGAGATGGACATCATTACCCAGGGTACATGTATGACTGTATATACAGTATGATGCCACATCATATACAACCAGAGAAATGAAAAGTTGTGCTGCAACTGTGTACAATGAATCAAAATGCATTCTGCTGTCACATATACCTAATTAGAATAAATAAGTTAATTTTTGAAAAAGAAATTGGTATAAGGGCTAGGATGTAGCTCAGTGGCAAAGCACTTGCCTTGCATATGCGAAGCCCTGATTTTGATCTCCAGTTTCAAAAAAGAAAAGACAAAGAAAAGGATCCCACCCAACAAAAAAAAAAGAAAATGGCTTAAATTTACAGGCTGCATTTCACAGGTGGAAAATGAAGGTTGGCTCTTGAAGGCTTGTGTTCAAGGAGAACAGGACAAGTCCCTGTGCCCTTCTCCCTTCTCGGCACAGACAGCTGTTTCCTTCTTGGACTTTTCATATTTCCCTTTCTCTTTCCTGCCTTAGCATGTCGGGAATGTTTTCAAAATGCTGATGCACCTTGTGGACACCCTTCAGGATGTGTAAGTAGAGCAGCTGGTGCCACCCCCTGTGTGGGCTCATATGTGGTGGGGGCCGCCTGTGTCAAAGTGGGAGGGTGGTGTACCAGCAAGTGCTCCAGTGTCCTCTGCAGTTGCCAATCCAGCCATCTGGTTTTTTTTTCATTTTCTTTGTCTTAAAGGAAAAGAGCAGGACTGTGGATGTAGCTTAGGGGTTGAGCACTTGCCTAGTGTATGCAAGGCCTGGTTCAGTACCCAGCACTTCAAAAAAGAAAAGCAAATTACAGCTCTTGGGTGCTGAGATTTTGCTTAGTTCCCACCCAACCTTTTGGCTTTTGTTTTTTCACATATTTTTAAATGATCATTGTCATAGAGCAGATGTATGTGTCCTGCATTTTTTTTTAACAATTAGTTCTTGAAAGTTGGGCCCATTTAAAACAAAAATCAAAGGTGGCCTTGCAGAATCATTTACTCCTTCACCTGTGTGTGACCTTTGCCACCTGGAGGAACAGCATGTGAAATGCATACAGTAATGTGCACCAGGGGCCTGGGTGTTCCTGGAGCCTCTCGGCACTGCTGCTCTCCCTTCTCCGAGCCCCTGGGGTGTCTGGACATGGAGCCTAGCACAGGGCCCTCCTGTGTGGCAAGCCCCTGTGACTTTGCAGGGTCTTTTCTCATATCACCAAGCTGTCAGTCAGTAAATGTGAAACCCGGTCACACCAGGTGGAAGAAATTCTATGTGCAGTGCACACTCCTCTTCTAGCACCCTCCCTCCCTCCCTCTCTCCTATACCTCTTTGATTTTTTTCTTAAGTTATTCATATTTTAATATTGGAAATATTCATCCCTTGCTATTTTTTGAATAAGGGAAAGTATTTGCAAATATTTTAACTTGCTTTGATAGAGTTCCAACTGCTGAGCTAAGACAAAAGGACGGTGACTGCTTAGTCACAGCTTTAAGACCTATTTAATGATATCCTGGAGGAGATCAAGTAAATGCCTTACTTGTAGGTCATTTATTTTATTTTAAGTAATTAATTTGTTTGTGGTACTGGGGATTGAACCCATTCTACCACTAAGCACACCCCCATCCATTTTTATTTCTTATTTTGAGATATGGCCTTGCGAATTTGCTGATGCTGGCCTTGAACTTGGCCATCCTCCTGCCTCAGCCTCCCGAGGAGCTATGAGTGCAGGCATACTTGTATGTCTAAAAGGGAAGGGACTGGTATTGATAATTGGTATTGTTTTCTCATTTCCCAATGACTTAAATGAGCTCTCTGGACTCCTGGTTGGTAGGATTCTTGAGAAGACCTCGTTAGAGTCCTACTTGACTGTGTGCCTGAAGCTCCATCAAGCTGCCTGCAGGATCACCAAATGCCTGAGGTTTTATGAGATCCCCGCCTTGTCTGCTGAGGTCATTTGCAGAGTCATCAGACTTAGACCTCCAGTGGTGAGTGGGATTTATGGATGAAATGTCATGCCCAGGAGAGGTCCTGGATTCCATGCAGCCCGATTTAGAAGGGAATGTGGGGAGTTTGGGATGCCTGGACGAGACAGTGGTAGAGTCAGCTGTCAGGTATTCATTTGGCCTCTCCTCCATGCTGGGTTCCATTGTATGCAGACTACACACTTCACCTCTGGCCTCGCCAAGAAGATGACCCCTCCTTTTTCCTAGATTCTATTATTCACAGAAAACTAGAGCCCATTTACCCCCCCAAAACACATGTCTGTGCCTTGTCTTCCCCGCCAGACTCTTCCCTTCATGTAGCAACACACCATGGCAGCAGAGCCCATGTCCTGCTGCCCTGCTCAGGCCCCTGTGCCCCTCAGCGTGCAGTCATCCTCGCCCTCATACCCAGAGGGAACCTCACTCTGATTCCTGCCACTGGAGCTCAGCTGCCCTTGGCCTTCACACTCTGTTCCCTCACCCATGTCTCAGGGCAGCGTCCCTGCTGCATCAGGAGCTTTGCATTGCTATGCAGCTTTTCCATTGTGGGTCCTGAACTTCTGTGTGGGTAATCGAGAATGGTGTCTCAGGGCAATTCTTTTTTTAACGTTTTGCACATCAAAACTGTAATGTTAGGGATGGAGATGGTCAAGTCTACATTTTCACCTTATTCTTTCAGCCTTTCTTCTTTAATATACCACAGACACACTCTAGGAATGATTTTTTTTCCCAGTACCAGGGTTGAAACCCAGGGATGTTTAATCACTGAGCCATATCCCCAGCCATTTTTTTTTTTTATTTCATTTAAAGACAGTGTCTTGCTAAGTTTCTTAGGGCCTTGCTAAGTTTCAGAGTCTGGCTTTGAATTTGGAATCCTCCTACCTCATCCTTCTGGGATTATAGGTGCTAAGAATGAATTTCATTGATAAGGTGTCTGCTTTCTCCCAAGTGGTACTATTTCTTTT